TCATGGGAAGGACCCACATTGCAGCAGTTCATGGGTTGTATCCTGTGGGAGGGACCACATGTTGAGAAAGAAGCAGTGGCAGGGAGGAGATGTCGTGGACTTCATTCTCCATCCTCCTGTGCTACTTGAAGTAAAGAGGTAGAGGAGTCAGGAGTGAAGACTGAAGTTTAACATGGGAAAAAGGGGGAGGGAAAGGCAAGTTTTGTTTAGTTTTTTATTTCTCACTATCTTACACTGTATTTAATTAGCAATAAGCTATATTTCCCCAAGTAAATCTGTTATGCCCATGAAAATACCTGGTAAGAAATCACCCTGTCCTTAGCTTGATTCTCATGTTCTATAATCATATTTTCTCACCCTCTCATGTGGAGAGATATCTCAGTGGGCACTGGGCAGCCAGCCATGGCTAACACACCACAACACTGTAAAAAGAGAATCTGATCAATGATTATATATATGTAATTACATGTAAGCTTTCGTAAGACATTTAAGTTGGAAAATAAATTCTTGTTCCATTAGATGCAGTAAAAGCGTCTAATACTTCCTATTCTACTCAGTCTGATTTTTAACATAATACATAATAGGAGTAAAATATGATGCAGAATTAGCACACAGTAAGGAAAGAAGAAAATATGAGAATAATCACATGAATTTATGGTCTTGTGTTAAAAAAAATTCGGTTTTTTCAAAATACATGTCTAAAATATGTCAAAGTACATTAAAAATACTGTGTTTCTTTTTTTAAGTGCAGACACCTCAAAGCTTGATATTTTTCCTTATTCTAAATTGTTTTCTTAGAGAATTATCATGGCACTATTTTCCTCACACAATTTTTTTTTAATTTTTTTTTTCTCCCTAAGAGAGAGATCCATGATTTTATTGAGTTCTAATCAATGCCCATAGGACATTAAGGAACAACTAAGGGTCTTCAGAAGTATCCTACCACTTCAAAACTCTAAAAGCTGTGTTTCTTAAATTCCATTTGTAGATACCAATAAAGTAGTACAATATTTAATGAGAAGCTGTGTAAAACATTAGCTATTGAATCCATTTGTATTTTTATTGATTATTTGACTGGAAGAAAAGCATTAATTTACTAACAGAAATACAGTCCATTGTATGTGCACCATTGCATTTTGTTGAGCTAATGAGACTAGCAAATCCACTTTTAACTTCTGATGTGTTCACTGATTGATGGTATGCAAATGCTTCTTCATTTTAAATTCTTTTAAATAAGATAAACCCCAAAGCTTAAATGGTAAATAACATGGTTTTGTTTGTCCTTTTCTTATCTGCATTTTCTTCCTTTCAAATGTTAATAACCTTAGGAATTTTTTTATCCAATCTTAATATAAGCAGTCATTCATGGCCCTTTTCTAATTATGATCAACAGATTCCTGAAATGGCATTGCCTGCAAAATATTCTATTCATGATTAAAGAAGGCAAATGAATCCCATTTGCAGTCTAACATAGTTATATTTGTTGAATATATTTAGAATATCCCCCTAAATTAGTGTTATTTTTTAGATCATTTTGAATAGACCTTTTTGATTTCAATACAATTTTCTCCTTCTTGAAGTCATGGAATAGAAGGCATCCAAAAATCTTCATAGTTTCTGAGAAATAATTGCTTACTGGTATATTTTAAATTCAGTACTGGAGGATTATTTCCCTTTAAAGTGGGGAAAGTAGACTTGGGTTATTCTGAGATAACCTTTCAGTTGTGGAAGTCATGGAGAGAGAAGGATTGGGGAATACAAGGGTAGAGATTTCAGTAGAAAAAGTCACCCCTTTTTAATTAAACTGTGATACCTCCCACCCTACTGGAGACAAAGTCTGGGACCGGTCATATGCCCTTCATAGTTATTCTCTACAGTTAATCAAATGAACAGTGGAATAAGTATGCATTGCTTTGGCATGTGTCTTGAAAACTGTTTAAAAAGTACTGTAGAGGGAGATTGAGACATCCCTCAGAAAAGTAGCACTTCAGGAAAGAGGAAGTAACATAGCACAGTCAACTTGAGATCACATAGAGAAAGTCCCAAATAACTAATTTGATGTATTTCTATGATAAATTCATCTGCCTTGTGAAGAAAGGGAAGATGGTATACATAGTTTTTCTGGGTTTTACTAAGGCTGTTGATACTGTTCCTCACAGCATCCTTCTGGACGAGTTGTCCAGCTGTGGGATGAGTTTGTGCACCAGTGCACTGGTTGAAGGGCAAAAGGGTAAGAGGGGACATTAGGAAGCATTTCTTTACCTAAAGGGTGATCAAACACTGGAACAGGCTTCCTAAAAAGGTGGTCAATGCTCCAAGACTGTCAGTGTTTAAAAGGCATTTGGACAATGCCCTTGATAACATGCTTTAACTTTTCATCAGCGCTGAAGTGGTCAGGCAGTGGGACTACATGATTTTTATAGGTCCCTTCCAGATGAGGTATTCTATTATGTTCTAATCACAGTGTTATCCACTGTTTTTCTATCAACTACTACATGACCACAAGACCACACAAATCGCTTCCTTATCTTTCTGCATGTATTCCAATATTAAATAATATACACATTTATGGTATTAAAAAAGGTTGAATTGACAGTTGTGAAAATTATTTGCGTTTCTATCACTGTGTTTATAATCAGTTTGTAAAACTGATCCACATAAAACATTTGTGCTCTTTATCACCTTGAAAAGGAAAACAGGAAAGACTATTTTGTGAAGTTTTTCTAGTGACAATCCACGTCTTTAGGCACCACTCATTTAAGAGATGAAGAGTAGCTCAGTGGTTTGCAACCAGATTTATGGTTAAGAGTTTTCCTGGCTAATTATGCTTAGTCACCATGAGCAAATTGTTCCTGCACTAGTCTGTGTCTTCATGTAAAGCGTGAAGAGGAATGGACAGGAACACTGGTATACAGCAAATATCATAGATGTCTCTTTAAGATCAGGAGACATTCTAGTATTATTATGAAAAGGTCATAAATTAACATTATCAGACCTTCTCAACTCCAACCAGGGCAATCATGCATCATCTTATTTTGGCTTACTTTCAAGTGACTAATTTATGGGTTTACTTCTTCATAGAGGCCTCTGAAGTTCTCTGTGTATGTATTGATGAAATAAATATTTTATGAAGCTAAAGGAAGTAGCTGAGTTTTCTCTATCTCAGAGAATAGGGAGAAATTATGAAAAATTAAGGCACCTTGTGTGATCTATCACAGGCAAGCAAGAAAACTTAAAAAGTGCTATTCAGAAGGCACCTGAAAGTAAGATATGATCAGTAAGTGATTACAAAGACATGTGTGGAACAAATGTGAATCCTAACTACCCCACCAGAAACTACAGTTTTTTCATGAAAAAGAAAAGATACTGCATTGATATTCTGGAATATACATTTTCTAACTAGCACCATCTGATGATCTTTTTATTGTCACCATGACCATTAGACTACCCAGGTGTATCACACCTGCTGAGTATTATAATATAGTGAACAAGTTTGAAATGTTTATGTGGTAGAGCTAGACAGAGTATTAGAAACTAGCTTCTAGTTTGATTTCCATCAATATCCATGTTAGACTACCAAGCTGTTAGCATAAAAATGTTCTCCAACACCATTTAGAGGTTACTTGTTTTTCCTACTTATTTAGAAATACAGAGGGGAAAGACAGAATCCCAGTTTCCCTAGGAACTCATAAAATCATTTTACTTGATTTTTAGCCGCAGATATTACTGTGGGCTGAAAAGAGACCCTGGAGCTTATACAGATTTTGTGCAATGTTGGAACCCTAGAGCTTTATCTCTAAAAGAACTATATTTCCAATGGTATGGCAGAGGACAAAAAAAAAAAAAAAAAAAAAAAAAAAAAAAAAAAAAAAAAAAAAGATCTTGTCTGTAAAGCTTATCTAAGTGATACAAGCTTTTGTCAGTAAGCTGTTGTGTGGTACTGCTGTATTTTCAAGTGCTTCAATGTAACCGTAAAATTCACTTGGCTTTGAAAATCAATAATTATGCACTTTCCATTAATATTGTGCACATCAACATTTTCAATACAGCTACTTTACACACTGAGGTGGCAAGAAGATGCTGGCAGAAGAAAAGCAGATCGAGTTCTAGAGAAAGTCAGTGTTTTATTTCATAATGCAGGGAACAAGACTAGAGCTCTTTTGTTTAATAAAAAACGTGAACCAGTGAAGTAATAAGGGGGAGAAGTTTGGATTATGAAAAAAAAGAATCATTAATCGTTACTGTCCATTCTTACAAGTTTAACATGTTTAAACTCTATTTAAAAATACATTTTCTCACAGTATACCTGTATACCTTGCTGATGAACTTATGTACTAGCTACTGACAACAGAAAAAGACAGTATTCCCTCACTGTATATCCCTTAGTCTATCCTGAGAGGTAAGGACTGGGATTAGGTTAGCATTTATAGACATGAAAGAGGGTTAAGAAAGTATGAAAGTGGTCAAAACACAGATCCTTCTGCTTTAGCATCCCATCTCCAGCAGCAGCCAAAAGCTCAGGGAGGGTCAGAAAAATATGTAGATCCCAATAGCTTCCAAACATTTGCAGCTCAGGGAATTCCTGGGAAAAATGCTATTTCTATTTTATTAACAATCTTTAATTAATTTCCCTTTTTTTTATGGTTAAAATAGAAATCAGGAGATCACACAATCCCCTCTTAGAAAGGAAGTGGCTTTAAATACAAGTAGAATTCTCATACAAGTTCTCAGTTATAGGGACATAAGATATGAAGCAAACGTATTGCTGGGCAATTACATCAAATTCACAGAATCCTTGTGCAATAGAATCTGCAAATATACATCATCAATTGTACATGGCAAACAGCAACTAATTATAATTTGGTACTTCTTTAATCTAAATATATATATGATAGTATTTGGATATTTTAAATAAAATAAATTTTCTTCTTTAATTTCAATTTTTTTTAATGAAAGAAAATTGTAATACACATCACCCTGATAGAACTGGAAGACCTGAAATACAGATGTATTTGATCACTGCTATATGAAAGCAAAATGCAGGAGCAAAGCAAGAAGCAAACCTTTGACTTCTACTTCAGACTTACTGTCTTTGCAGGACAGAATGTGAACCTCTCTCATATGTCATGCACATTCTAAAGTACATTTCCCAAAGGTGAAATATAGGACATGTTAATTAAAGTCCACATTTTGCTTTATAATAGAGCCATTAGGACAACTGGAAAGGAAGGACAGATAATGGCCAAGAAAAATTCTAAATTTGTACCCGCTGACATAGTTTCCTTTATTCCTATTAAAAAAAAAAAAAGTAATACATAGAAACAATGCTTGCAGTGTTCCTATATATGTCCAACATGCACTTCTTCAATTACATTTTCATGTAAGTCTTTATGAAGAATATAAATTGTTTGCCTCTCCTCTTTAGTGTTGGTCTTGCTGCTGGCAGGGCTGTTTGATGATCCCTCACATCTTCACTCACTGTCCTGGGAGAATCTCCAGCAACATACAAGGAATTTTGTCTGATCCCAAATCCTGTGTTCACTTTCTTCCATCTCCTTACTCTGAAACAAAATTTTTAAAAAGGTGTGATGGTGACATGAAGTAGAAAAGTCAGTTGAAGTTTAAACAATTGGAGATCAAATTTCATCTAAGAAAAAAAATTCAGTGGGAGACAGTAGAATTAAGATGAGAAAATCTTTCAGTATTTTTAACTTTATAGTACATACGCTTTTCAGCTGATACCTTAATAAAGAACAAAAAAGTATAGGGTTTCAAAGCAATTACTTGGAATTGTCTTTCACAGTGAGAAGCAAGCTACACTTTTGATGACTAGGAGCCATTATTTATTGATTGGCAGTTCTGAACTGCATTCCTATTGTTATTCAAGATACATTTAAAGTACTTACTTGTAACTCATGAGTCTTTTTATTGCAAGAGGAGAAAGTGGGAAATAGTGAAAAAGATCAAAAATATCTCAAGCCCCTCATTTGACAGAATTCAGGTACTAATTCAGCATAATATCTTTATATTATATTAATAACAATAGGCAGAGATTATTAACAAAAACATAATCACCATAAAGATTATCATTAAAAAATAACCATGCTAACATATATTAGTTTTTATAATTTTGGGGTTGATAAATCACATTCCTAATAACAATGTGCAGCAGACCAAGAACATCCACTTAAACTGGGCACCAGAAACAGGATATTACACTCTGGGGAATTCAGAGCACAATGAACAGACAGTAGCCTTTTATAGAATAATAGAGATTTATCAAAAATTAGGATCTTAAGTATTGTCCAAAGTAGCTATACTAAAAATTGATTCAAGAAGACTGCATGTAAGACTAAAGAAATCCTGGCAGATCTAAACTTCTTCTGTATATTAGTAGTTTTTATGTCATCCATGGTGTGGTGGTTTTGACCCTGGCCGGATTTCAAATACCAATTGGAAGCTGCTTTTCCCCCCTCCTCCTCGCTCTGTTCTTTTCAGAGGAGAGAAAAAAACCAGTTAGAGAATTCCTGAGCTGGAAGCAACTGCTGGGAGCAGTTACTGATTATGGGCAAAACAGATTCAAAGGGAATAGAACTTAAATTTATTGGTAACAAACTTAAATTAAAAGCTAAATTCATTGCTATCAGAATACTAGCTAAGGAGTTAGAGAATAAAACAGTCTTAAAACACAACATCTCCCCCCCCCGCCCCCCCTTCCTCCATGTTCTCAGTCCTCCCCCTCAGCAGAGCAGGGAGATGGGAAGATTAATTGAATATTTCACGTGCTTTAAGCTTAAAGACATACATCTTCAATTCTTTCCATGTCATCTTTGCACTTTCATTGACATTCTACCACAGGCTACAGTGCAATTTACTGTGTTTCTTGTCTTTTTATTTTTTTATTTTTTTTTTTTAATGTATTTTGAACAGGTTTTCAGAAAAGGGAATCCACAAACCAATTGGTTTACTCCTAACTCTGGGACCTTAAAAACTCTTCTTATTGTTTGAACAACATATCAGGGAAGCTGAGACTTTTTTACAAAGCTGTAGAACACTGTGGAGGTATGATAGAATGAAATGTTGTTAATGTCTTAAACATTCTCAAAGTCATAGAAAGACTTTTTGGGCTATGATGGGACCCTCATCACTGAGAAGACCAGAAGAAGAGGATGCACGGGATGTGACTGGGTTACACGGAGTGGTGATATATTTTCTATTTCATCTTTATCTGTCACTTTCATTTTTCCCTGCCTCTCCTTTTTCCTATTTCTTTCTATCTCTCTCTTTCTGTATCATATTTACTGTTAAATAAAATCAATACATTGACTTTGGCATATGGCTTTGTTTGCACCTTAATTCGGGTAGAGGTATTTCTAATAGTTTTAATAATCAGATATAACAGGTGGTACCTTGTTACTTCCTCGTAGTTGTAACCCATTTCCTGGCAGTGTGGATGGGTCAGTGATGCCATTATGAATACATATCTAATATAATCTGTCTACTTCTTATAAAACCATTATGTTCTTAATAAAATCAGCATCACACATCAAACTCATATAAGCTGCCCGAGTATAAAAGCTAGCATAGAAGTGTGATTGCTTATAGCATCACAGACCTCATGATGCTCCTGTCTACTGATGATCATGCCAACTAATCATTCCAGATATAGACTGATTGCCAAGCCCTACATCAGTAAGAATACAAAAACTGGCAAATTCTTCACCCTGCTGGATACACAAGAGTGGGCTGCTCAGAAACTTAGTTGCTGTTGCTGAATTTTACTGGAATCTTTTTGAATGAAAGGGCTGCTTCCTTTTTAATTACTTTAATTTAATGATTTCCAATGATGACTTTTCCTTAAAAAAAAAAAATCTATATAAGTTCTATTAATAATTCCTTATTAAAATACCTGTTCAATATTATTCATAGCTCTATCCTTTTCCATTCATTTGCTAACCAAAAATATATTGATATAAACTAAAAATAGAATCTGTAAAACTAGCAACTGAAAAAGATTTAAATTAAAGAAAGTAAACCAAAATATATGAAAAAACAATGGCTGTAACTGATGGCTGTGGGCTTGAATTAACTCTTGTTCCCCTGGGAATACACATAGTAAATTTTCAGGACAAACTTGTTTTTAAAGTATTCTTACTTAAGCATCTCAGAAACCCTTAGTCCTGCATTTCTAGACGCCTCATAAGGTTGAGCTCTGTAAAAAGTTAAGAGAGTTTCATTCTGTTTTCTATTTCATAATTAGATTAATGTAGCTAAAAATATCATGAGCTGCTACTAAAACCACTGCATAGTTTATAGAGTATATGAGTATATAGAATTGTAAGCTTTGAATTTTTAGACAAAAGTACTCACACCTGCTGGAAATCACTAGCATATAGATAATCTTATTTAAAAACTAGTCCTGGTGTGTAATGACACATAACGCTTAAGAGTGCCTATTGACAGGAACTTCTTTTTCTCTCCCCACTGGTTTACAGCAATCTTCAAACACCTCCTGTAAGAACTCCTGACATCTCAGCTTGTAATGAAGGGAATATTTGCCAGGGTATAACTGGAGTAAGTTCTGCACTTGCCTGCTGCCAACTGGAGCTTGTGGAGGTTTCTTGGGGCAGGCAAGGAAGAAGCCAATTGCTTGACTGCTCAAGTAACAAGCAACAGGACAAGAGAAAATGGCCTCAGGTTGTGCAAGGGGAGGTGTACATTAGATATTACAAAAAATTTCTTCATCAGAAGTGTTGTCAAGCACTGGAACCAGCTGCCCAGAGAAGTGGTTGAGCCACTATCTCTGGAGGTATTCAAAAGATGTGTAGATGTGGCATATGGGGACATGGTTTAGTGTTGGACTTAGCAATGTTGAGCTAATGCATAAACTCAATGGTCTTAAAGGCCTTTTCCAACCTAAATGATTCTATAACTCTATGATTCCGTGATTGTACCATCGTGGTCGTTCATAGCCTGGTGAGCTCTGCAGCTGCTGCTGTTGCTTTAGCCATCTGTTTGGCCAGCACTGACAGTGAGTCAAAACCCTGTGTACGCAGAAAGACTACACAGCTGTATTCCAAATTATTGCCAAAAAGGGACTAAAACTGTGGAAAGCCTAATAATAAAAGTAATATGTGACTGCTTAAGAAGAAAGATAAAAAATAAAAAATCAGAGTATAAATGAATAATCAAGATAAAATGCTTGGCTTTCAAACTCCAGATAGATGAGCAAAACATTTTAAAGCCTTTTTCCTAACAGTAGAAAAATAGAAAATGCTATCAAAGTCATTAACAAAATCATGAAAATATACAAGCATAAAAAGGCAGCATACCATATGTCCACCAATATCTAGTACAACAGGAACATTAAGAAAGCCATTAAGATAGTGTCCCCATTGTGCCCAGGTATACAATAACATATGGTACATTTCCTGCTTCACTGTGCATTTCCTTGCTTTTTTTGTTTAGCATCACAAATTTAGAGCTCAATTAATATAGTTTGTGTGTGCATTTCTCCACAGAACATTTTAAAATTTTTCACTGCTGTTTATTTTTTATTTTTTATTTTTTTTTTTGGTGCAAGTGCACAGTAAGTATTAATGTAAGATGAGATTCTTTCCAAACCTTAATTAAATGGAAGAGCTAGATAAAACTATTTTAAGATAGCTACACACGATACTTAAATTATTATTGTCGTCTTATTTAATCCTCACACAATTTGCTGTAATGATACTACAGAGAGACATTACAAGGTTGTTGTTTGTTTTAATAAAGGGTGACTTCCCAAGGACAGATGTGGGTATTTCCCAGGAGTATAAATTAGTGGCAAAATAGTAAAGGACTAGTGTAACATTGTTAAAGAAAATATGTCAAGAAAATTTATTCTTGAAAAGCTAAAGTTTAAGGAACCTCAGGATTTCCAAAATCAAGATGAAATTTATTTGTAAAACACATTATGTCTCTCTTTGGTACTTAGAGATTTCACATGCCTCCTCAAAGAGCTGAACTTTATCACACTAGCTCAATCCTACCGAGATTCCTTTTTGATTTCAGGATTCCTTATGGAAACTAAAAAATGGTTCTGTTGTCAAAGCAATGCTGTTAATTATCTTATGTGTCTTTCCAAAAGAGTCATATAGTGTTTTATGAGTTTGATATAGAAAATGAAATTAGAGTGAAAATAACCCCCCCAAAATCTCAAATACTTGCATCAGAAATGTTTTTTTCAAATAAATCGTTAGACAAATATGAAATATCCTGAATATATATTTTTAAAATATAAAGGGTGAGAGTTCATTTTATAAATTAAATAATAAATGTTAGTTCATATTCACTACGATTTGTCATTTACTGTCTCACCAGTGGCTGTGGTGCTATGTAGAACTCTTTGAAAAGTCATGCATAGATTATTTCCGAGTGTGGGTATAGAAGGAAGGGATCTCTAGTATGAAACCAAATCTAAGTTAAGAAAGGAAATCATTATAACCTTAAGCTAGCATCTTTATTGGTATAAACTACATCTTAGTGTTAGACATTTATTAATGACTAAAATAATTAATAT